CGGGCCCGCCTGGTTCAGGGGCCGGGCCCCCCTCCATTCCCTCATGGCTGCCAGCTTCTTCCCTAAACATGTTTGATCCGGGTGTCATGCACTTCCCTGCCTGCCTGCCGCCTTGGCAAGGTTTTGGCGGGTGGTGGTTATTCCCTTGTGCCAGCTCCAGACAAGAACGGCTCTGCGTGTCTCAGGGCCTCCCCCCACACAGACCTTGCTGCACGCCCCAGCAAACCTCCTCGCTCCTGGCCTGTGCTGCTCCCACGGATGGGTATCCTGGGCAGCACAGGATCTGCAAGGTGGCCCACAGGACCTCTGAGGGCAAGACAGCTGGTGGCCTTAAACACATGGAGATCAAGAGAGAGCGGGGGGGCTAAGGGAGGAGACCGGGAGTCTGAGTGTGATGGAGACTCACTGCAAGCGCAGCCACAACCAAGAGCTGTGGGAGATGGAGTGACCAGGGACAGCCATCCCTGCGGCAGGGAGGGACGTTACCCATGTCCCCTCTGGCCACTGCCATGAGAGACATGGAAAGAGGGACATGCAGGTGCAGCTAGGCAGGCACGGGGGACGAGTTACAGAGGGAAGGAGAAACCCCAGCCTTGGTGAGAGCATTAATTCTCCATCTGCCCCACGCTGCTATTGGAAAGAAGCCCAATTCATCCACCGGCAGCTGGGAGAGCAGCCAGCGCGAGGCATCCCAGCCAGACCACGACATCCGCGTTTCCTTGACACAACACTGTTTGGCCACACGGGCCTGAACACCAACTGCCACCCGGCTCAAGGGGCCCCAAGGCAGATGCCATGCAGAAGGCAGTGCCCCTGCCACAGCACACCGGCCTCCGCAGGGACAGGGCCCCGCACACCCACGGGGGTGACCATACCTGCTTTCCAGGATGGCTTCTTCCACGCGAGTGCTCTTCTCAGATGGAGGGGCCCCAAGGGAGGTCTGGCTCATGGCTGACAGAAATTTCAGCAGCAACTTGGTGCTCTCAGTCTTTCCAGCTCCGCTTTCTCCGCTGTTAAGGAAAAAACATACGTTCCATACACAAATGCAGGACAGACCGAGCCAACAACCATCCCACCCGCGGCAAAGAAATGATCTCCAGGAATAAACACATGGCATTTCCACTGCGGCAGGCAGGCGGCAGGCAAAGGGTAGGGTAGGATGGTGCGGATATTTAGGCAGATGTCATTGCAAACAGACCAGCAGGAGCAAGGCGTGTAGTGCAGTCAGGGAGTAGCTGGTTCTCCCATTTCTAACCTTATCAGAACACACTGGCTGTCATGACGCTTCCACAAGCAGCAGTAGCACTCGTTAGCGGTGGCGAAGATATGGGGAGGCAGCTCACCCAGGCGGTGCTGTCTGTACAGGTCTATGGCATCCACACTGTACAGACCAGGGATGGGTTTGTAGGGATTTACTGATGCCAAGATGGAACCAGTGTTTGTCTAGGGCGAGAAAACAAAACACAGCAAGGAAATAAAGCTCCTGGAAAAAAAAAAAAATCATGACAAACCCAGACCCTGAAATACCTCACGGTGAGGGGAGAAGGCCTAAATAAGGAAGTTGGGCTTCAACAGAGAGCTCCCCAATTTGGCAAAGAACGTCAAACCCCAGGGCAGGAGCTGAACGACTGGGTATGGATGGGGCAGTTTGAATGTCACTGCTTTACATGAAAATGTTATTAGGCGGTTTTCTTTGCTAAATTAAGCTCACAGAACCTAAAACCACGACACCATCTTCATAACCAGCTACCTCGCACTGTGCTTGGAGCTGAAAAGCAGATCCAGGACAGGAGGGGTGTCAGGAGATACCTTCCACGCCCCCACCTACAGTCTTAAGTGGAGGGGGCTTGGCAGGGTCCAAGCACCCCCTGAACAAAGAGGTGGGACAGAGAGACACACACACACGTGTGCAAAGAGCCACTAAAGCGTATCGTTTTTCTTCTGCTGCAAAACACTGTTTGGAGCAGCTTAAATCATTTGGTAAGCCAAATCAAAACTGACAGCTGAAGCCGAAGTTCAGGATTTCAAGTCAAAAATATTCCTATATTAACATTTTATTTTGAAAATATTTATTTTGAAAATCTCACAGTTCAAGAAAAGAGTTAAATAAGGTTTAAAATAAAATACCCAAAGCCTCATATTGACTTTCAAATGCATTCTTTTGTGAATTCAGAAGGAAATTAATTTTGGGTTTTGGGGCACGACTTTTTCGGTTCAGCCAACCAGCTCAAATCCAGTTATTCTCGGAGCTGCAGTTCAGAGCAATGATGCCACCTCTCTCCCAACAACAGCTTTGTAATATGGTCAGCATCGAGCTTCAATCCTGCTTCTGCTGCGGTGGCCTCCTTCACGGGGACGTCTTGGGCTGAACTACTCCAGGAATACTCCTTCTCAGGAGGGGTGACAGAGGAAACATTTAGATTGCTGCAGTAAGTGCCAAGCTTTGTGGCCAGGGACAACTTCTAGTGTTATTTCCAAACCACGAACTGCAAGTCACCACATACATACACTAGGATTTGCATGCATCCACTGGAGAAGCTGTGAATGAAACACTTGGTGACAAGAAAGATGCATGCTTTATCCCTGACAAACGAAATCTGTGGCCCTACTGCAATGCCAGGCTCTGAAGCCAGACTAAGATGCTGTAGTCACCAAAATATTTAAGACATTTATTAAAGCAGCAGTCGCAGATCGCTGGGGGGGTTAAAAACATCGCTTAGGCCTAATTGCATTATTGGTACAAACAGGTTAGCATGGAGTAAGTCCTGAGAATCCTGACATGGACCTTTGTGGGCAGAAATATCACTCACTGGTGATGAAAGCAATAAGCAAGCAGATGATTATTGGCAAGACAAGTGGAAGGAAATGGGAAAGCACTGAGAAAGAAAACATGGGTTGCGAAAAAGCACTGTACAACCAGTTGAGCAACAGACATTGTCCAGAAACTGCAAGACAGAGATGTCCATCCTAACACTTCTACAGACCTTCACAGCATTTTTTCCTCTCAGATGTTTTATTTTGCATTCCCCTCTCTAGTTTTAGCTCTCCCAAGGAACAGAGCTCCCGCTGCAGTCCCTTCCAGAACTTCTTCCACTAGAGCCATCTCTTTCAAAGGTGTTTCTAGGAAACTTCTCCATCTCCCAGTTGCAGTCTCCTCATCACCTGCAGTCCCTTATAGACAATTTCTACCCACTGTTTTTAATAGCAGTAGCATTTGTGCATCAACCACATACCCACCAGCCACTCTGTTAGCCAGGAGTGATTGTCCCCAGAGAACACTGTAGAGCAGGACAAGCCACGCGTGGCACGTCTGCTTCTCAGGACAATAGATCCTGCTGGGGTTGTCAGGCATGGCAGCACTAGGGACAGCACAAAATGTGGCAGTACAGCCCCTGGCTCATTTATACATCACTCACAATATGTTGGGTCTGCTTTTGTTAAGGGATACAGGAGCGGCAGGAATGAAGCGGGAAGACACACTCAAATGCTGCAGGATGTGGCTGTGCTCACATAATTTCCTTAGTTTGGTAGAGCTTGAATAGTATTTTGTTGGAAAACAAAAGGTACTTTTGAGATATTGCCAATATTCCTGTAGCACATTAATTATAGGTACCACACCAGCCTAGACGTACTGCTACCCACATTCCCTGACCAGAAAGGACCCCCTTTAGGAGCTCATGGTAGGATGCCTCCAGGCATACAGCTCAGAACTGCACTGCCCTTTTTCACAGCAGTTGGCCACTTCATGTTCTCAGTTTTCCAGCCCATCATTATCTTTATTGTTATTTATTTATTATTATTTTTAATAGTAGTTACCTGTATTCCAGGTTACTCATTCCTTCAGGTGAATTTGTTTTCCAGAAAAATTATATTTCTCACCTGTTTCTGATCTCTCTGATTTCCTTCCAAGTATTTTTGGCCCTGACTGACAGGCATAACTCCTCTCAGTACAGCTTTGTCTGCAGCATTAGCCTACTATGTTCTACCTGTGGAAACCATTGAGGATGACACTAAACGAACTCAACCCCTGTAACATTCACAGGTCACTAAGTCATTTGTCGGCACTACAGCTGAGATCCTCAATTTCTGCTTAACTGTGCAGCTGGGCTATGGCAAAAACGAAGAGTTACTGATAAGGTAACTGCAATATTAATGTCTGCATTGCAGAAATGAAGACCAGCACTTGTACAGTTTGGTGTTCTCTGGGTCAGACATTGTGCAAACATATACCCAGATACAGTTCCACCCAAGGAGGGGCTTACAATCCTTACTGAGGGATTCTTTCCAGTGCTGAGCATGTTACAGAAGTCAGGCTTCTTCCTAAATCTCAAAAAAAATTCAGGTCTGAGGTGCCTGACATTCAGGCACTATGCACAAGTGAAAAATGACTATTTAAACTTTAACACCTTTACACACAGATGGAGAAGGCACAGAACTAATGCTGAAGAGGAGGAGGAATGACATATCAGAGCTAGAGGACAGGCTTAAGGAGATGCAGCTGCTGTGACATGGTCACAGAGCTGCTGCTGTGGCATTTCTGGTGCAAGGCACAGACTGAAAAATGACAGAATCCTGCCTCACGTTTTGAAGCGTGAGGAAGAAGATATGGGAGGAATACACCCCAGTGGGCAAAGAGCTGCACTAGCAGGTGTCTAACACAGGTCAGGAGAAGCAGCAAGGCCAAGGGCGGGTGCACATGGGCACTGCCACAGGGTCACAAGGCTGTGTTGATAAGCAACAGGCAAGAGGGTGTACAGCAACAGAGCAGAATTTGCAGTCTCCTCTGCAGGCCAGTGCAGAAGGTGGTTCAGAAACGGGGTCACTTTATTGATAATTTCCTGGAATACAGGTGCCTATGGTTTGGTTGCCTCGGTAACCGTTGCTATGCAACACAGATAACGATTTACATTTTTCTGGTCATACTCTGAAAAACTCTGGGTGCACATAGCATGGACAAGCAAGGCAAGAGTAAAGTAAGGTAAGGCAGTCTACATTATATCCTCCTAGTCCTCTCCAAGACTCAGCAGAGCATGCTGCCACGCCAGCACTCCAGGGATGCCTCATCCCAGGTGGGCTTTTCCTCACAAGTCCCTTCCCTGACACTTGCTTCCTTCCTGAGGGCCCAGGAGGGAAACCAGGAGATGCTTTGAGTATTCATCTGTGCAAGGAGAGCACAGCAACTCAAAAAAGGCACAACTGCACGTAAAAGCAGAAGAATTAGACAACATTTTTGCTTCCCTAGTTTTGTCGAGCAGTAGCTTTAACTGGACCAGGAAGGATGCTCAACAACTACCGGTGTACCCTGCACTACCCAGTCAGCTTGGCCATATAAATCTCTGAGCAGCAGTAATGTAGAATGTGGGGGACGTGAATGCCAGCTTGTAAAACACAGGTGGTCAGGAGAGCTGCACAATTCCCACAAAGCCCAGAGGAGAACGTTCATGTTTTTGGAGGTTCTTCTACAGATGCAAAGAGGCCCCTCTGGTAGGGGTAGGATCTCACAGGGCTGATGGAGCTGGCAAGGCAGAAACCCCTCCATTTTTACCTGCATGAAACAGTGCTCAGGAAACAATGCTAAAATCAGTATTTCACATGCAAAGTGGCAGTCCCAAAGCTAAACAAAAATCATTAGCCAGAAGGGATGTGGCCCTTCTTGAGCACTTACGTAAATGTTACCCCGTTGGTAGCGCTGGTGCAGGTTAAGCAGGATGGCAGCTTCATGCAGATCTCCCAGCATGGACATGTCTTCTACCCCATCGACACTGGTCTGGTGCATTGGCAAGACCTTTTCTCTGGAAAGGGAGGCCTTGGGGTACCGGAATACCTGGAAGAATGGGGAGAAGGACAAATAAGTCCATGACACCTGGGCACATGGTTGATTTCCTGCCAGAAACACGTTCCTTTCCACAGCTTTATACGTCATCACTTGAAAAGGAGATTAATAGGGTACAGACCTGCTCCCTATTTTTATAGTCATTCTTCCATTCCTGTTCCTGACCTATTCAAGCTCTCTGTCCAGAAACCATACAGCACACTCCCTTCTTTTGCTCCATAGTCAATCATCTTCACTATTGACAGAGACAGGTCAAGGCAAGATTACTTGATTTTTGCCAAAGTTCCCTTAGCAGGAGCAGGGCACCATCCTGAACAGGTATTACACAGCATGCTCATGACACTGAATAATGACAGCAGCTGCTCCCAAGGGACCAGAACAGTCTGCCACAAAAACACAGGTGGGATCACATCTCTGACTGTGAGGAGGTTGAGGCAAACCTTATTCACATTCCAGGTTTGGCCCTGCACTCTCCATAGGAGCAGCCAGAGAGCGCCTGGGAGAAGTTGTCATGTCAAGAGCAAAGGCAAGCAAAGCAGATGAGAGGCCAAATAAAGCCGTGACATCCTGCGTGCATGTTGGCATGCATGTATGTGATGCAAAGTGTTTGTACAGTGACAGCCATTAACTTCCGTCACTGCTCTGGGAAGTGCCCTCTTCTCCCTCTATGCGGCTGCACTCTTTTTGCCTCAACTGCTGCATCCTTCTTGCTGCTAGAGCCGCCGCCTCCTCCTCAGTAACCCACTCTTCAGCTATCAGGTCATCTTCTTCACCCCCTTTCAACACAGCTGAGATTACGTGACTGCTCCCCTCCACCATAGCCACATCCCAGCCCTCCCTTCCTCCTCCTCAAGCACGATGCTGGCATTTCACAAAAGTTATTTCAGTTGCTTCCCACTCTTGGACTCAGCCAAGTGCCATCTCCCACCCAGCATCCCAGGCTGCGCTAGCTGGTAAGACCCAAGACAGACAGATGGGAGGCTTCGTACAGGCAGCCTGGAGAAGCACACTGGCCCACAGTAACCCTTCCAAAGAAACTTGGGCTTTTCCTTCCCTTCTGGGGCTCTAGTCTCTACCTCATTTCCACCCCTGCTTGTCAGCCCTCTCAGCTGCCAGCAAGAAAATCATGGACTCCACAGAGAACGAACCACGATGAGGCTTTGGGCAACCCAACCTAGTGGAGGGTGTCCCTGCCCATGGCAGGGGGGTTGGAACGAGATGGTCTTTCAGGTCCCTTCCAGCCCAAACCATTCTGTGATCTATAGTGTTGATCTAACTGGATTCTTCTGCCTGCTTTCCTGGGGCTGCTGTCTGCTTGGGAGAGGCAGCTGCAGGCTGAAGACAGAATGAGGTCACCCTGCCCCCTTCCAGTCCCTCACAGGGCGCTCGCTGCTGCAGGTGCCCAGCGAGCACCCCTTCTCAGCCCTGAGCCCCCACCCCTGCCAGGGCTGGGAAGGAATAACCTGGATGCCTTTTTGAGACCCCCAACATGCCTGCGAAAGCCTGTATGACTAAAACAGCAGCACTGTTCCATGAGGGAGCTGGGGAGAAGCAGGCTCACTTCCCCAGATGTGTTCACCCCATCACACCTAATGTGACAACGACTCGGTCTCTTCCCCTGGGAGACTGCCCTGCAGCCCAACTTTCTCACCAGCCAGGAGGCTTTCAAAAAATCACAGTTCAGGAACAGCTAGCCCACGCCAGCACACAGGCTCTCTCCAGGCCTCCCTGCACCACTTCTGCATCTGGGCATCAGAGCTGTGACCCTGCGGCAGCAGGACCCCCACTCTGCAAGCATGGCCAAAAACACCACATCCCTTTTTTTTTTTTTTTTTTTTAATTCTTCAGAGCAGAGGCCTCAGGTACTTCCACAAGAGAAATGAGGGAACAGGAAGGGCGAATGAGGCAACTAAATTCAGGGGAGAGTACACGCTGCAGATGGACAGCATGAACTGGACCCTGTCAGGAGCAAACCCACTACAGCACTTTGAAACCGTAAGGCAGCAAACCACCCTGGCTCTCTTCTCTGCTGACCTGGATGAATTTTGGAAGGGGACAAGTACAGTATGACGTGATCTTCCTTTACATCTGCCTGGCACTTAACTCATTCACCACTGCACAGTCAGCATTTGTGGCCATTTGGGCCAGAAGAGAAACATTAAGAAAACATCTAGGGGAAAAGCTGACTGGACAAGTGTCCCCAAAGACACCAGGCGGTTGGCAGCACCTGTGCCAAGGGGCTGCTGTGCCTGAAATATAATTGTGTGATGGGTCAGAGCTTGTTTAGTTGCTCTTATAGACAACACAGGAGAAAAACAGGACCTTAAAGAGCAACAGAGACCTTAAATACACAAGTAAACGGCTAGGAGGGATTCCATCATTACCTGTTAAACCTGTCTTGAGATGCCTGATTAGGGTTACTCAAGTCAACCCCCTAAAAAAACCCAAAATCTGGCCCAAGCTCCTCAAGGATTTAACAGGTGCTCCAGCAGGACCACAGCAAAGGTGGATGAGGAGCACTGGCTCTAGTACCCTCTGGACAGAAACACTGATACCACACTGACTCCCTAGCCAAGGCTAAGATGTCACCTGTCTGTCTCTGAGGCTGGGGAGGCTCGCTGAAGACCCTTGCACTGCACCCCTGTCAGCTCACCACTCCTCTGGCAGAGGCTAGGGCCTGCAGCTCCACTGAGATTTGGGAGGTAGGGTCTCTGCCTCTGGAAGGCACTTGTGGCACGCAGGAGAGGTTTCAGGCCTTCCCTAGCACTGGGAGAGAGTTGACTTTTCATTTGTGCTGTGCCCTCCAGGGTAGAGACAAGTTTCCAGTGCTGCAGGGATCATACAGGGTGCTGGAGATAAGCGTGGTGCACTTTTGTTCCCAACCTTGTGCCAAAGGGGCTTTCCTTGAGAAGCTCTGAGGTGAGACATAAACGTGACCCAGACAGGAAGGTCCTTCAACCCTTAGCGCTGCACTGATGCAGGCCAGCCAGGCTCTCTCCCACCTCCAGCCACCCCAGTACAGAGGTTCTGTTACCCCACTGCTCACTTTTGGACCCCTCCAGCAATGTGCAAGGAGACCAGTTTGGAGGAGCATCCTGCCCACCATCCTGCTCCAGAGAAGATGAGCCAGTCTGGCTTCAGCAGCTTGCACTACTGAGCTGAGTATCCTGGCTGATTTTGCCTGAAGCAGGTGAGAACACAAACTGATCTCAGCACTGCTGCCTCTGGAACACCCCTTTTCCAACGAATTAATACTTAAACAGATGGTTATAGGCATTAATAAGCAGATCTTTATTATCTGGGAAAAAAAAACTATTGGCATCCAATATAACTACAAACAAGCCATCAAATACCACACAGACATCTCACAACATAGCAAAAGAGTTCTACTTCTTCCCCAGTGATAAGTTGATTATCTCAGATTTAGCCCACAGTCAGAACAAAATGACCAGGACCCTCTCCAAGGCACTGCAATGCTCAGGAATAAAGCAAAACGTGGCTGGCAGAGAAGCCAATATAAGAATTTCCAACCAAGCCAGGCTGAGCAGAGGAGAAATGATGCCTTCTCAACCTCAAATCCATCCATTAGTGCAACTCTGAGCACGTGAGCAAAGCTCCCACACAGCATCTAAATTATGTTTATCCATGAAGCGTTTGGCTGGTCTGCCTGGACTGCGGTTTCCAATCTTGTGTTTCGTAAGTGCCAGCTCCTCCTTTCCTCCCAGGAAGTCACATTTCTGATGGATTTGTTGCTTGAGGTGTTTTTAAGGAAGTGAAAACAAACAACAAAAGCTCTGAAGCAGGACTGGCCTCTTACCTCAGAGCTGCAAGAGCTGCAAGGATGCTGGGCCACGGCAAACGTGAGGACACTAGATTTAGGGAACCTAAAAGCAGCGGGATCAACTGGCTCATCCAACCCAAAGTAAACGGAGACATTTTCATCTGAGTTTTCACCTGGGCTAAGACAGCCAGTCCCTCCTACAGTTATCAAGCAAGGAAGGTGGCAGGCGTGGGAAGCACATAGGACAGCTATTGTGGAGGGCACTGAATAAAGCCAGCCCTTTTTCTGCATAAACCAGGAAGCACACGCTCCTTCAGCCTAGTGGTTTCTTCTTTCATGGAGGTAAAAACCCAAATCCAGCTCTTTTTTTTTCAGACCTGTGACTCCACCCAGCATTATCCTGTGCACTTTTTCTAGCACTGACTCAGGCTGGCAGTAGGTGCACCCACTCAGCTGGCTCTATGGTGGAATTTCGGTGTCCATTCAGAGATGCCAGGTGGGTTTGGAGGGGTTGTTTTGGCCTTGTGTTTTCCAAGACCACACCAGCATATCAGAAGAGACAGGAGCAAGTCTGGGAGAGTTACAGAAGTACTCACCACTTGCTGACGCTCTGCAGGCATGAGTTACCTGTGGTGAATGCCTCCGTGAGCTCTTAAAATGAGTTAGTGACTATCCAGCACTCCCAACACAAGGCAGCTCCTCGAAAAGGATTTGAGTAACCAGATGAAAAACCTGTGTGCCTGCTAGGTGAGTTACTGTCTCTGAGAAACAAATCAATCTCTTTAAAAAGGAACAATGATTTGAAATCTAGCCCTTTCAAAGCAAGACTGAAAAATACGACAGCCCTACTACTGACTCTCCACAAGCTGGAGTCCTAAATCCCCCTTTCTCCTGCGCCCTCCTTTATTTGACAGGTAAGAGGCTGAAAAAACCCTGTCCAATTTTCTGTAACAAAGCAGCTGCCTGCGGAGCACCATTCACCAGAACAGCTGAGCAGATCTAATTGCTCACTGCTGGAAGGCACAGTCCTGCCCATTTCTCCATCCTCCTCCCAGCCCAGGCACGGGTTTGACTCACTAAGAACCTCAGTGAAGGCTGTGAATAGTTTTCCCAGGGTTAGGGAGCAGAGATGACTCACTGAGGACTTAGATGATCCCCAGAGGTCCCCTCCTACCAATATTACTCCACGAGTGCTGCAGCAGGCATGCCAGGGAACCACAAGGAACACAGGGCTGGAAATAAGGCAGGGAAAAGACTTGATCCCTACCACTGGCAGAGAGCTCTGCTGCCTTGTTGAACTGCCTCCTTCCTGGGCTGTTAATGCAACTCCTTCAAAGATGGCACAAGAAGAGACATGCAAAGTGAGGTGAGCAGACAAATGAACAGAAGAAAGAACAATCTTCTCTTTTTAACCTTTATCAGACATTTGGCTTGCTTTGTGGCCACTTTTCAGACAGAAATACAGCATTTCAATTGACGCAAATGTCACTTACCGTGCCATAGTCCGAGGTGAAGAGCACGTTTCCATCGGCACACGAGCCAACAGTGCATGGCTGCAGCTGGTCCTGCTCCTGCAGCCATACCCTGGCACCCTGCAAAAACCAGAAGACCTCCCATTAGAAAGAACTGGAGCCTGCGAGATCTGCTCATGGGCTGCAAACACCCAAGAAAACCTGAGGGAAGCTGCGGTGTTCCGAGGCTGCCTCCAAGTCACAGCTGCTCAAAATTTTTAAGCAAGTTCTACTTAAATTTTCAGAGAAAGTAGCTTTAATTTTTTTAACGTAATGTGAGAGGGAGAAAAAGCAGTATTAATCAGCCTCGTGTGGAACCACCGTAAGGAAATATGAATTTTTATGGGCAGTCATGGAAAGATACACGCATACAGTATAGTGGGTTCGGCTGTCTAAATATTTCCAAAGTTAGAATAGCCAGTCATTAAGAGTCATGCTATAATAATAACAGAAAATGTAAATAAAGCATGTTTACAATTTCATACACCCACACACCATTGTAAGTCAAAATGCTTCCAGAACTCATCAGCAATAGCTAAGGAGACGTCACAGAGCTTTGTTTGCCACACTTTCAAGAGTTTCCTTGGGTAAATGACACGCCTTGAGCGTTTTCCTGATGTGTATATATACTGACATATATATGTGTGTATATATGTATATTTACGACGGCCCTGATGTATATATGGTTTCACACGCACTACGAGATCTTAAATCGCACAGTGTCTCTCAAGACAACACCAGCACAAAGGCAGACTTCTGGTTACACATATGCAGGGATCTGCGGGGCAAGCAGACCTCATAGCTTGCCTACAAAAAAGTGCAAAGAGATCCAGTTTGCTGGGTTGGCCTCTTCTGCTCTGCCTGACTGTGGGCCCTGGCACAAGGGAAAGAACAGGAGCATGAAGGCAAATCAGAGAGAGCATGACCTGCAATTACGCAGAATTAGGCAAAACATCACATGGCATTTCAGTTACTGGAAACTGATCTGTTCCATGTGTTTCCATAGAACTCTGCTTAGGTTAAGTCTGAGGAAAAGCCATAGTGCTGAACTGTTGAGTAATGTTAAGGCCATCCTGTGTTTTATCGATTCATAGACCTACTTTCTTCTT